GGGTGGCGGGGGGGAGGTGGGGGGCTAAGAGTGGTAGACTCCCGCGCCTCGCTCCGCGCGCGTGCCCGGGATGAGGTTGTCCAGGAGGACACCCGCGAGCAGCGAGACGATCATCGTGTTGCTAAAGAAGACCTGGGACACCGAGAGATGTGGCCGAGATGTCGCCGAGTTCTGGCCGAGATGGAGAGCCGAGATGGAGAGCCGAGATGGAGCCGAGATCAGCCGTGATCAAGCCGATGTGGCCGAGATGTCGCCGCCGAGCTGCCGGGCGGCCGCAGTTGCCGCCTTTGTGTTTTGGGCGTCCGAGCACGGCTCGCCCCACGGGCCGGTGTTGGCAAAGTAGCCGGCGGGCCCGCCCAGCGCGAGGCCTACAAATAACGAAACTCTGTGCTAGGAGACGGGTACGAAGGGGGCTCGGGTCCCCGCCCAGCGAAAGGCCGTTGTAGATGCAGAAGCCGAGGATGAACAGGTTGCGCGACGAGTTGAGGTCGACGTGCTGGAGCTGCGCGAGGCCGCAGGAGCAGATGAGGCCGAACAGGCACATGTAGAGACCGCCCACGAGCCAGCCAGGCATCGCGGCGAACACGGCGCCAAACTTGGGGAAGCAGCCCATGAAGATCATCGTGCACGCGCCCGCTTGCACAACGGCGCGCGAGCCAACCTTGGTGACGCCGAGCGCGCCGATGTTCTCGCCGTACGAGGTGGTGCCGTTGCCGGTGCCGATGAGGCCGCAGAGAATGAGTCCCCACCTACGCGTGCCACAGCCGCAGCTCTGCGGACAAGCTTCAGAAGACCGGCCACAGAGGGCACTGCTAGCACACGCGCCCTTCTCCTGCGAGGCCGCGCGAGATGACGGGACCCGACGGCGGCGGGGCGCCCGCGAGCTGCGCGGCGGCGTAGTAGTCTCCGATCGACTCGACCATCGAGACGAGCATGGCGGCGATCATGGGCAGGATGGCGCACTTGTCGAAGATGGGCGCGCCCCACTGACCCGGGTACGGCCACCTGAACCACTTCGAGTCCTCGATGACCTGGCTCGACGTCTTGCAGATCGCGTAGCGCCCGCCGAGGTAATCGTCGTCCATGCCGCCGGCCGCCTGCGCGATGGCGCCGATACCCCACGCCACCATCACGGTCCACAGCACCGGGAAGAGCGCAAAGATCTTGATGCTCGCTCCCCCGATCTTGAGGTTGACGAAGCCGAGGAGCTGCGAGAAGACTACCATGCAGATAATGACCGCCGCGGCATATCCCTCGCAGCCGGGCACGGGCAACGGACGTTGGAAGTTCCCGTTAATGTTTGGGGCAGTATACAGCCCGAGCCCAACCATGCACACGGTCGGGGCGATCGTGAGCGGCGAGATGAAGCGTGTGAGCAGGCCGAGCACGCCCGAGTAGCCAAGAGCAACCTGGATGAAGCCGCACGTCAGGATGGCGCCTTGGATGCGGCGCATCGTCTGCTCGAACTGCTCCTCCGCGCCGATCTCTCCGGAGGCGACCATCGCCCTGACCTGGCCGATGACGGCAAAGGTGGGGCTCAAGAAGGCAAAGGAGCCGCCCTGCACGATGGGCAGCCGGTCCCCGATGGTGGTCTGAAGGAGTGTGTTGCAGCCGGAAACGAAGAAGATGGTGCAGATAACCTCGGCCATCTGCGTCGGCGTGCCGCCCATCTCCGGCACGATGAGGAGGGGGATGAGGGCCGTGGCGCCGAGCATGGTGAGGTAGTGCTGCGGCGGAGGCGGGGAATGGTGAGGCGGTACCAGAGGCAGGCGGCTTGCGCGGAGCGGCGGGATACCTGGAATCCGAGGATGACGCCGAGGTAGGCGGGAGGCACGTCACTGACGGTGTACAGCATGCCGCCATTCTTTGCCTGTGAGGAGGAGCAGGAGTCGCCGCGGCTCGGATCGGCGTCAAGCGGCGGCGGCGGCGGCGGTGAGTATTAAGCATACGGCGGCCGCCGACTACGCGAGTGGTGCAGCGTGTGTGTGCACACCTTCTGTTTGAATGACTTGTCCATGACGCGCGTGGTAGGCCGCAAGACGACCGAAGGCCTCTGGTACCCCTGCCCTGCTGATGTGGATCAAAATCGAGCGGATCGCCGCCTTTGGTACCCCAAGGT